AATAAAATGTTTTTCATCTTTACAAAAAAAAGTTCGACACTGACAGTAACTATTTTTTTGCGTAGTAACCATTTTATCACTTCCCAATATATATGATTAATAATAATACCATTTTATTGTTAAAGTAAGATTATTACAGTATTTTAAATGTAATATTAAAATTGTATTATTGAACAAACATAGTCAGTTATTATAATTTCGTCAATTAAAAAAGTTTATACGAATTTGTTAAAATAATTATCGTTATTAGTGGAATATTCCACTCAAAATGAATTGTGATAAAGTTTTAATATATTTTTAAAAACTATTATTATTATTTATATTTTTATGAATTCATTTTATTTATCTGGAAATAAGAATGTACTCTTTGTGTTTTGTCATTAATGACGCGGAATATACCCACTAAGACGAATCAAGGTTCTTAGATTTCTTATTTATGTAAACTCGCACTAAAAGGAGTGGATGTAAGCTGGCTTTAGGACCCACATTTGAAAGCAATCTTGAGACGACTTACTCAACTTTACAAATAATTAATTGACTTCAAAATTCGGTATTTTTGATATAAACTTTTTGAGTTTTTGGTGAAAACTGTTTTAAAGAAACATTTGAACCAAAAAATCCTATTATTTTTTTATTTCAAATTTACTTATAACTAATTGAATCTTTTATTAACCGCCATATGTCTTTTTTAGTTTTAAGATGGCAATAAAACGTTTTTAATTTATTTATTGTTTTTAGTATTGGGAATGTATAATATCCAAAATATATAAATAAAGCTTTCTTTTAGAACTAAAATTAGCACTTGGTCTATGTTAATTGTCAATTTAATTAGATGATAAAACAACTAATTAAAATAACTATTTTAGTGTCGTTAATATATTAAAGATATGGATAATGATGTTTTTTATAATTAATATATTTATTGTTAAAAATTTACAAAAATATAAAAAATGCATATATTTAATTATTGTTTTAAAAAATTATCAAGACAGAAAAATTTTTCATTTTTTACAACATACCATCAAAATGTTTGTCAAAAATTAATTAACAGACAATGGTTAACACATTTTGGTTAATCATTTTTAAAGCATAAAAAATACAAACAACTTAATTACAAAATGAGTTTTTAATGTATTAATGAACATAATTATTAATATTTTTAAAGTTGAATATTTTATCCAAAAAAAATGTTGTGACTGTTATTTTTTAAAAATGATTTATTATAATAATAATTGTGTTTGTTTTTTGTGTTATTTCATTACAAATAAGGTTTTAATTATACGATTGTAGTGAATGTTTTGAAACAGAGATTTGTTTGTTTGTTTGTTTTTTGTAAATGTTAAATATTTTTGATGTGTATGTTATAAAATAAATTATATTGTTTTTTGACAATTAAAAATATTAAAAAAACTTAATATGATATTAAGAGGTTACGTTGATGTATGTCAATTTGTAATGATAATCAATAAAATATTAAAAATAAAATGTTTATATTTAAATGTGGAATTAATCGTTTATTGTTTTTTTTATCTATAAACTCGAATATTAAAAATAGGAAAAATCATTGTTATAACATGAATTTGGTAATCAATCACAACATTCCACAAAATTTTTATTCTTTGTTTTACCACATTCGCAGCAATAACCATTTAATTATGTTCAATTAAAAAATTTATCCTCAAATTCAAAACAGCAAATAATTCAATATCTCCGCATCCAGTTTTCGAATTAAAAAAATACATTAATCAAACTCCAAAAACACTTAAATATTTGACATCAAAAAAATGAATGAATAACGATGAGTATAACTCATTGGAAAATCTCAAATGTTACAAATCATTTTGATTTTGAAATTTACAACAATACAATTCGGCTACCAAAACAAAGTGTATACTAGGTTCTATCAATCGTCAAAAATGTGAAATTCTTTTTACATACAATATTGTTGTTTTGTTATTTTTTATTGAAATTTAAAGCTAAACAACTAAAGCATCTTGTCAAAAATATACAACACTTTTTTATTTCATGAGGATCAAAACAATTCTTATTAAAAACAATTTTCTAATGATACAAAAAATAAACCCATATTGTTCGGTTCCCCCATAAATTCCACTCTTACAACTCAAGTTAAAAATTAGACTTAATATTTATATTACAATAACGAATTTTAAATAATGTAATAAATTGTTAAAAATGCCCAAAGAATAAGAAATCACCAAAAATGATAATAATAATTATTATTTTTATTTAATTGTACTTAAAACCAAAAAATGTAAATTAAACTTGTTCATAATATGATTATATTTATATTGAGGTTATTGCAAAAACTGTCTTAAAAAACAAAATATTTAATAATTTTACATATATATTCGTGTTTGTATTTTAATTAAATTGTAAATTCAAAAAGTCAACAACACCGATTATATTAAAATACAATTTTGAAAATAACAAATTTATAAAAAAACATTGTAATTTATGCAATTATTTAAATTTTAATAATAACGGAATTAACCGCTATACTTATATTTTGTGGTGATAATTACATTTTGATATCAACTCATGTTAAAACAAATTAACAGTTTGAAAATGGAAATCATTTCCCGAGGATGAAAATAACAGATAGTTCACACTTTTACATTTGTCTGAAATTGTATAGTTTATTTCACTATACACAAATTTTTAATTAAAAAAATAAACTCAAAAATAACAGAAAAGTTTTAATGTTTCCTTCATTGGAAAAATAAAAAAATACAA